GTAACTGCCTCGGGGAAGGAGAAATTATCGAAGCATTTCCAAACCAGCTCATAAATGCAAAACGTGGATTGACTCCCTTGCCTGAGAAATTTGAAGTATGCAATTTTTGGTAAAAGCATCCTTCAGCATTGCCTCCCTTTGTTCCCAATGAGAGGGAAATCAGGCTGTCCTTGGGGAAGATGACTTCCTCCTCTGTCAGGAAGCAAAGACGGGCACTGAGCGTATCAGGTGAATGAAGGTAGCCGCAGGAGTAGCGTGTAACTTTGTTTCAATAGGGAACAGTGAGAAATAGAGGACATTTTAAAATGACTGTACTGAGTGCAGCCTGCGATCCAAGTCCCATTTTCACAAAGGGCAATTCTTCATTAATTTACCTGAAGAACTTTCTTTTTGAGCTTCTGCCAAAGAAGACATTTTCAGCTGTGAAAAATAATGGTAAAAATTACCACTGATCTTAACAGTCTGTTACCAAAGACCACCCACTGCGCATGATCCAATCCAGATTGACTTGCCTGCCAATTTTATGTAGAAAGATAGTACCTGAGCTCAGATTATTTGGAACCCAAAAAAGTTGATGTGGGGTGTTACATTTCTTAATCTAAAATGAATAAGAAGTAGATTTATTTGTAAGTTCACAGAAAAGTCTCACAGGAATCTCATTGACTGTGTACTTTTGGGAAGACCACTCTGCTCTATTCTTCACATATATCAAAAGAATAAATCCTTCCTTTAAATGAAAAATTCAGTTCAGTCTTAATTATCATGCAGTGTTGAGCTTCTCCAGAATGAAGGTTTCATCTTCAAAGCAGATAGCCCGCCTCCACGTGCTGTATTTTGGGATTTGGATTTATTTTGATTGTTTGGGAAGGGAGGGGATTGTAGTTTCTAATGCAAGGTCCTCTCTGTTTGGTTTGATTTTGCTTACTGTGGGAGTTGAATGGGTCAGGTGCAGAGGGACTGTGAAGGAACCTGGAAGGGAGTAAGTGACTATAATGCAGCTATCCTTTGGTTGCTTAAATCTTCAATACTAATCTTAACGACTCATATTACAAAGGTAAGGATTATACACGGACATATTATCTGCGCTCGTATTGGGTGTTACCACAATTTTCAGAAGAGTTTCTGCATTTGTTTTTTCCAGAGTGCTTGTTAAAAATGCACTTCTATGTTTCTTGTCATGACTCTTCTGCCAAAACATTTTACATTTTAAGTAGAATCCTCATTCGACAATGCACAAATGGCCACTGCTGGATCTGAAGTACTACAGAAGTGGAACACGATCTGTAATCGAGCTGACCTGTAGCAAACCCAAGTGCTGAGCTAGAAGATTAAATGGAGCAGTTGTTAACTACTCAGAATACAGTTTATTCCTAGCAATTTAAATAAAGAGTGTTTTAAAAGCAAAATAAATACAGGTTGAAACTCTCTTAACCGGGACACTCTGATCTAGCAACATCCGTGCTCCGGCAGGATGGTGGATGTTCTGGAACCAGAGTCCCGGTGGAGAACTAGTGCATGGGAGCCCTGTAGACTGTCAGGGCAGCGGGAACCTGATGCGCTATAGCGGGGCAGTGGGAGCTGCACATGTGATACATGGGCAGTGGGAGCCAGGCACACAGAGGCTGTGGGGCATCGGTGTGACAGCAGGAGCCGTGTGCTGCAGAGAGAGACCAGCACAGCAGTGAGAGCCCAGCGCACAGAATGGTGGTGGGGCTGCCAGGCGCTGCAGCGAGAGCCAGTGCACACAGAGACAGCGGTGCTGCCAGGCACAGCAGTGAGCTCCCAGAGATCAAAAGCAGTGGGGCTGCCCAGTAGGGTCCGGGGCGGGGAGGGAGAGGAGAGGGGGAGGAGGAAAAGGCTGTCAAGGCGGCAGGGGCCAGCGAGAGGGGGAAGCTGGCTGGGAGGCCGATGGTCGGGTCAGGGCTAGCAGCAAAAATGACCTCCCCTGGTCTGGCAAAATCCCTCATCTGGGATCGGTCAGGTGCAGGGAGGTCCAACCTATATAAATATATGCAGATGGAGTTCCCTCGCAATAAAATTCGTAGGATTGTGTCTCACACAGAGGTCTGGACAAGCAGGCTTACAACAATACATGATATTGTACAGGAACAACGCAGTTTTTAGTGGTACTTTCTTCTACTATATATTTGGCAGCCTGTCTGCCTCTTTGTTCCAAAACGCCTCCTAAATAGCAAGAACTAGGGCCACCAAATTCAGTATATCGCTTCCTGCTATCGTAACTTATAGCAAGGTGAGGGTCTGGTTGTGCGAGGCCAATGGGATGTGCCTGGAATGGGATCACTTCTCTCAAAACCATACAGAAAAGAGACAGAATCACCAGGCAGGTGGAAAGGGGCAGGGGCTAGCAGGGGGCGATATCTACAATATATTTCAATATAGTTCCTCTGTGTGCGTGCGTGTGCGCATCCCCCAGCTGGGGGAGAGATGCTTGCATCCTTCTGTCATCTGTGCCTAGTATAGTTGCCACGGACAGGCACTTCTCTCCTAGTCCCTGCTGTGATGAGAGAGGGCTGAGGTAGTTCTCCCTGCCCGTAGCAGTCTGCATACTGAACCCCTCATCCCCTAGCCCTTTCTGGGACCCTTTCTTGAGAATTTATTATTTAAATCCGTGGTGTCCAACTCACTAGCCACATGTGGCTATATGGCCAGTTGAGTATGGCTAGTTCGCTATAGCAGTAGCCACTATAGTGGAGTTGTAAAAGTTCCAAAATAGTTGGATTTGAGGGTGCTTTCTTGAGATTCTGCAGCAAGTAGTAAATGCTTTTGTTACTATTTTTAGGGCTCTATTAAAATTCAAGCTGAAGATCCTGGATCTTTTAAAGGAGAATTTCATTAAAATAATTCACTGCAGAGTCTGTCCTTCAATGACTGTGCTTTGAAGGAATCCTAAAATACTAGTACTAATTCTGTCAAAAATCAACAGGCGGTGGTTTAGGCTCTCTCTGGAGGGTTTTATTTTAAAGGTTAGTGTTTTGGGGGTTTTTTAACTGGATGTCACCCATCCAAGGTAAGAGTCTCTGGAAACAGAGCAGCAGACGGCTGCTCCCAGCTGAGCTGCTACCAATTTGTAGTTTCTCTTGACTGTTTCCTACCTGAAGAGAGTGTGCAGGACTGCGTGCAGATGTGGTTGCCTCATCTCAAAAAAAGATATCTTGACATTGGAAACATTTCAGAAAAGGGCAACAAAAATGGTTAGAGATACGGAACGGCTGCAATATGAGGAGAGATTAATAAGACTGGGACTTTTCAGCTTAGAAAAGAGACAACTAAAGGGGGGGATGTGATAGAGGTCTTTCAAATCATGAGTGGTATGGAAAAAGTGCATAAAGAAGAGTTATTTACTACTTCCCAGAATACAAGAATGGGGAACAGCAAATGACATTAATAGGTAGCACGTTTAAAACAAACAAAAGGTAGTATTTCTTCACACAACTCACAGTCAACCTGTGGAACTCCTCGTCAGAGGATGTTGTGAAGTCTGCATACTCAATCCCTCATTCCCCAGCCCTTAACTATAACATGGTTCAAAACAAAGCTAGAAAAATTAATGGAAGATAGGTCCCATTGATGGCTTTTAGCCAGGATAAGCAGCGATGGTGTGCTTGGCCTCTGTTTGCCAGAAGCTGAAAATGGGTGTCAGGAGAGGAATCACTTAATGATTCCGTGTTCCGTTCATTCTCTCTGGGGCACCTGGCATTGGCCACTGTCAGAAGACAGGACACTGGGCTAGATGGAAATCTGATCTGACCCATTCTGGCTGTTCTCATGACTGCCTTACCAAACTAGTATTTGATCTATACTCTTGAACTGGGCAACAGAGAGGGCAAATGTATGGACTGAGCTCCAGGCTGCTGCTTCACAACCCCCTGATATGTTTATGGGGGACCCTTTCTGAAGACCTAGATGCAGCAGATGTGATGGCTATCAGAAAAGACATTCTCAGACAAGCGGTACAGGAGTCAGCCACGTGCTTCTGCACTACTGCAAGGTGTTGCGATATTATAGCAATGAGTGATGTAGAACAGAATGTGGGTAGCAACCATTCCACCCCTTATGTCCTTGACTAGAGATGGCAGGAGGGTGGCTGGGAGTAGGGATATTAGCGTGGAGTCGGTTACATGATTAACGACTACAATGGGGAAGGAGACCGCTGTGTACAGGAAAAGTATGGCTAGTACTGACATTAGGGCACCGAGAGCATCACTTCCCTTCCGTCTCCCCCATTATGACATACGGCTGGATAGAGAATAAAATGGAGGACTAGAGCACTTGAAATGAGAGGTCATTCCATACATGAAGGCGGCAGGATGAAGGGAACAGGAGCATAGGCCCAGGCTGGCTTTACATTTCACAGAATAAAATCAACTTTTGTTTAAAATAACCATTTATCATCTTGTTTATATCTAAACAAACAGTACAGGTTCAATCTCCCTGGTCCGGCACCCTCGGCACCTGACTGGTCCTGGACCAGAGAATTTGCCAGACCAGGGTAGGTCAATGAACTGGGGCCTCCACTTTTCCTCCTGGCCACCTAAAGTACTGCACTCTGTCAGGCGGTCCCACTGCCATCGGGGCTCTCCCCAACAGCCCCTCTGCTGCCCAGGACTCTGCCCTCTCCCTGCCCTAGCCTGGCAATGCTCCCAGTCCCAAGGGGTCACCCTGATCCTGCCGGACCATGGGTATTGCTGGACTAGAGAAGTCCAGATTATGGCGTGTCAACCTGTACTCAGTCAATGTGGCCAAATCATTTACATCAGAGGATATGTTTGGTGATGAATGAGGCACAAACAACTAGCTAGAAGTGAAAGATGCCATACCCCTTTGTCAGTGAAGTTAAGAACATGAATTAACCAATTACAAACAATTCAGTGAATAAAGTTTTGAACAGCTTATTTGTCTTAGAACATCAATGGAGTCAGTCAATGGTAATGACTAATGAAATAACGCAACTAACAACTTAAACACAGCTCTCTGGGTACCTGTATGTCCATGCAATGGGGAGTGTGGTCGTGGGAGTGTTGGAGATGTGCTGGATGTTACAATCAAGCTCTTCCTATTGCTCGTCCGACAACTGAAATGAAAAGAAGCAATGATGAGGAATCATCTTTCACAAAAGACCACCATATTTTAAGGAAAAAAAACAGCAAGATTTCCTGTTGCCGACAACGATAAGTATTTGGCTTCACATTGTCTCGTGCTGAATTCTGAAGTTGGGTCTGCAGATAAATAACAAGTACACAGGGCTAAAGTCATTAAGACAACAACAGGATTTTATAATACAAGTGATATTAATGCAATCTGCGTTGCATGTTGTTTGTATAAGTGGATAGAGTTTACACTCCCAAAATTTTTCTATTCCTTTCTGAAAACCATGCCCTCATACTTTATCGACTGTTACTATCACGAAAACACAAAGAGTAAAGCATTTAAATCATGTGAGGGCATACTTCCATTTCAATTTGTAAATTATTTATGTGTTGTATTGGTTGATATTAAAATCTATTGCAACTGCTATTTCCGCATATCATGAAAACACACAGTAGTATTAATTAGGAAAACAGAAAATCTGCAAAGTTTCAATGCTGACCAGTGTATTGCTTAATTTAGTGTTAACAGAACTTCAAAAAGCACATGAAGATGCAAGTGGGATTTCACCCTTCATAGCAATGAAATCCAAAGGTGAGTTCAAAACAAATCTTGAGAATCAGTCTTTATTTCAGGTGCTGCAATACCCATCCACAATAACACAAACCGAACCAAGTTTCAAAGCCTAACTTTTAACAGGAGCAACTCCATGAACTTCAACCATGTCACTGACTTCAATGCAGTTACTCCACAAATGACTTTGGCACCCTGCGCACATTTATTTCCTTGCTTTTGAAAGGTTTCAAAATTAGACAGTTGCAAGAGATGAGTGCTTTGCTCCCTTTGCTCACTGGTCCTGGACTAGCTCTTGGAAAAGTTGAATTAGTCCTAAAAGCAATTGTCATAGACTAGTGAATTGCTTTTAGGTCAAAGCAGCTCTGAAGTATTGGTTTTTAAAATCATATTCTAATTACCTAATCATCTTTGTTTTCCATCATCAAAAAGAGAGATGCATTCAAGCAGCAGTATCTCATGAACTGTTAAGAGATTAATGTTATTTGCCATAAAGTATTTCTAGCTTGCTCTGTAGGTACTCAAGATACAGGTTACTTAAAACGATGTTGGAAATTATGTGGCAGGGAGGTGGGAGAAAAATCAACAGTAATCAAATTGATATTAGTTTATAGTGTCTTGCAGCAAGACAAGAAGTTCATACATCCAACTGAAAAGATCTGATACAAAGCTTTTAATTCCGATAATTGTTTCCAAAATCTGTTTCCAAAATATTAGTTACTGAAATGTTCACTGGTCCCTTATAGTCTACGTTACATTTCAGCAGTCGCTCAAAAACAAATATAGCAATCAAACTCCCAACTGCCACAACGTAATGGAAAATTATTTTAGTCATAGTACTGTTAGTGTAGCTGACTAATTTTTATTTGAACATAAGCGACGAGGAGTCCTGTGGCACCTTATAGACTAACTGAAGTGTAGGAGCATAAGCTTTCGTGGGCAAAGACCCACTTCGTCAGATGCTTGTAGTGGAAATTTCCAGAGGCAGGAATAAATATGCAGGCCAGGATCAGGCTGGAGATGACCAGGTGGATCCAATCAAGGAGGATGAGGCCCACTTCTAGCAGCTGATCTGGAGGTGTGAATTCCAAGAGAACAGAAGCTGCTTTTGTAGTTAGCAAGCCATTCACAGTCTTTGTTTAATCCAGAGTTGATTGTGTCAAACTTAAAGATGAACTGTAGCTCAGCAGTTTCTCTTTGAAGTCTGGTCCTGAAGTTTTTTTGCTGCAGGATGGCTACTTTTAGATCCGCAATTGTGTGTCCAGGAAGATTGAAGTGTTCCCCTACAGGTTTTTGTATGTTGCCATTCCTAATATCAGATTTGTGTCCATTGATTCTTTTACGTAGGGACTGTCCTGTTTGGCCGATGTATATAGCAGTGGGGCATTGTTGGCACATGATGGCATATATTACGTTGGTGGATGTGCAGGAGAATGTACCAGTGACAGTATGGCTGATCTGGTTAGGTCCTGTGATGGTGTTGCTGGTGTATATATGTGGGCAGAGTTGGCACCGAGGTTTGTTGCAAGGATTGGTTCCTGAGTTCGAGTTATTATGGTGCGGTGTGTAGTTGCTGGTGAGAATATGCTTCAGGTTGGCGGGTTGTCTGTGGGCAAGGACCGGCCTACCTCCCAAGGCCTGTGAAAGCGAGGGATCATTGTCCAGGATGGGCTGAAGATCACTAATGATGCGTTGGAGAGGTTTTAGCTGGGGACTGTAGGTGATGGCCAGTGGTGTTCTGTTGGTTTCTTTCTTGGGCTTGTCCCATAGCAGGAGGCTTCTGGGTACACGTCTGGCTCTGTCAATCTGTCTCCTCACTTCCTCGTGTGGGTATCGCAGTTTACAGAATGCTTGTTGAAGGTCTTGTAGGTGTAGGTCTCTGTCTGAGGGGTTGGAGCATATGCGGTTGTACCTCAGTGCTTGGCTGTAAACAATGGATCGTGGGGTGTGTCCGGGATGGAAACTGGAGGCATGCAGGTAAGTATAGCGGTCGGTAGGTTTTCGGTATAGGGTGGTATTGATATGACCGTCACTTATTTGTATCGTGGTGCCTGATCCTGACCTGCATATTTATTCCTGCCTCTGGAAATTTCCACTACAAGCATCTGACGAAGTGGGTCTTTGCCCACGAAAGCTTATGCTCCTACACTTCAGTTAGTCTATAAGGTGCCACAGGACTCCTCGTCGCTTTTGCAGTTTCAGACTAACACGGCTACCCCTCTGATATTTGAACATAGTGTGCTTTCTAAATACAATTGGACTGCCAATAAACCACAGTAAAGTTGAAGTACCAGTATTTGCCACTCTAGCATTTTAGTGTACTTAAAATTTCAGTGAAAATTATACAGCTGTTTCAATACAATCTTCACTTACATTTAAGTACTATTCAGCAAGAGTCCATTCAAAAATTAATTGCTACTTTACATATTGTATACAAAATGTAACAGCACGAGTCTGAGAAGCTTAAAATTTCATAGTTTATAAATAGATTCATACTGTGCATCTTGAGTTACTCTGTTCCATTATTGTGAAACAAGGAACAGAATACTGAATTCAAAGGCTAATACCAGATAAACATTACATTTACCCTGTTAATATAATAAACCCTTACCACCATAAACACAACCAAAGTATTTCAATATGAAAATCATATTAAGTAGTTTTCTATAGGCAATCATTAAACAGCGGTGATTCTAGTCAGATTCTAAGTGGGTCAATACTAGTCCCAACATTAGTCAACATTTTCATCACTAATCAGGAATTACATTTAAAATCACAACTACTCCAATCTGCATACGACACAACTGTTTGGCAAGTGTAAATAACGAGGAGGGAAACACAGTCAAGGAGTGATATGGATCACTTGGGAAGCTGGGTCCATCAACCAAAATGTGTTTTCATGCAGCCCCAAGGGCAAGGGACAGAGAATGAAGGCTATACCCACAGAATGGGGAACAGTATCCTGGAAAGCAGATATGCTGAGCAAAGGATAGGGGTCATAGCGCACAAGCAACTCAACATGAGCTCTCACTACTATGCTGAGGCGAAAAAGCACAAATGAGACTCCGTTTTATGAGACAGGAAGCAGTGAACCTCTATACATGGCCCTTGTAAAACCTATGCTACAATACTGCCCACAGTTCTGGTGTCCACATAAGAATGGCCATATTGGGTCAAGTCCATCTAGCCTAGGATCAGGTCTGCCGAAAGTGGCCAATGCCAGGTGCTCCAGAGGAAGTGAAAAGAACTTGGAATCCTCGAGCAATCCCTCTCCCATTCTCAGCCTCTGACAGAGGCTAGGGATACCGTTCCTACCCATCCTGGCTAGTGACCATTGATGGACCTAACCTCCATAAATGTATCTAGTTCTTTCTTGACACCTGTTGAAGTCCTGTTCTTCACAAGATCCTCTGGCAAGAAGTTCCACAGGGTGACTGTGCGCGGTGTGAAGAAAAACTTGCTTTTGTTTTTAAACCTTCTACCTATTAATTTCATTTGGTAACCCCTACTTCTTATGTTACAGGAACAAGTAAATAACTCTTCCTTATTCACTTTTCCCACACCTGTTACGAATTTATAGACCTCGATCATATCCCCCCTTAGTCTCCTCTTTTCTAAAATGAGAAGTCCCAGTCTTTTTAATCTCTCTTCATACAGGACCCATTCCAAACTCCTAATCATTTTTGTTGCCATTTTTTGAAACTTTTCCAATGTCAATATATCATTTTTGAGATGAGGCGACCACATCTGTACACAGTATTCAGGATGTGGATGTACCATGGTTTTATATAGAGGCAATAAGATATTCTCTGTCTTATTCTCTATCCCTTTCAAAATGATTCCTAACATTGTTTGCTTTTTTGACTGCCGCTGCACATTGAGTCGATGTTTTCTGAGAACTATCAACAATGACTCCAAGATCTCTCTCCTGAGTAGTTATAGCTAAACTACTCAAGAGAGAGTAGTCCCCATTACATTTGTATGAATAGCTGGGATTTTTTTCCCAGTGTGCATTACTTTACATTAAGCAATATTAAATTCCATTTGCCATTTTCTTGCCCAATCACTTAGTTTGGTGAGATCTTTTTGAAGCTCTTTACAGTCTGCTTTGGTCTTAACTATCTTGAGAAGTTTGGTATCATCTGCAAATTTTGCCACCTCGCTGTTTACCCCTTTCTCCATATCATTTATAAAAAGGTTGAATAGGATTGGCCCCAGTACAGACCCTTGGGGGACACCACTAGTTACCTCTCTCCATTCTGAAAACTTACCATTTATTCTTATCTTTTGTTTCTGGTCTTTTAACCAGTTATCAATCCATGAGAGGCCCTTCCCTCTTACCCTATGGCAACTTACTTTACTTAAGAGCCTTTGGTGAGGGACCTTGTCAAAAGCTTTCTAGAAATCTAAGTA